TTTTTTTTTTTTTTTTTTTTTATTTTTTTTTGGTCACTGTGTGCAGGCGGGATAGCTGAGCAGTCGCTCGCATTGATTTTTCTCTACTTTTAATGTAAGTGCTCAGGAGGAAAACTCCAGGCTAGAGACTAGACTTTTGCAGGTGTGTGACGCTCTGGGTGGAAATACCTCTTCTCACCCCCTCTAATTCTCCTGTGTAAGAGCCTGTTTCATTCATTAGCTTTGCAAACCGTTCCGGAAGGATGAGCCCAGGTAGGTGGGACGTGTGTTGTTCTCATGATTTTATTCCTGGTCTTAACATTATTTTGTAGGGCAGGGGGTTGCTCCCATGCCTGCCTGTCACTGCTTTCTGCAACTTTGGACTGCAACTTTGTGTCTGGGCCCATCAGGCTGGGTGCTCCACCCTTGTACTTTTAAACCTGCAGGTCTAAATGTTGCTTTCCGCCTCCTACTCCTGGATGTCTTTGTAGCACCAGCTCAGGCACTGCCTCCCTTTCCTTCCCTACAGAAAAGCAAACTGAGGCATCTCCCTCAGCAAGCCGAGGAAGAAGACTCCACCAAATTTATCGTCCTCACTCTCCTCTCCATCACCTGCATTATTGGGGTCCTAGTTGCTTCTGGGGTCATCTACTGCCTCCGCCACCAGTCTCATCACAAACTGAAAGAGAAGCTCTCCACGTTGGGCACAGATGCCAGCTCCGATGCCACTGCTGCTTATCAGGTAAGGACCAGCTTTTTCCTCCAGCACTGGCTCTCTCCTGACACTTAAACAGATTATTTATCAGTCCCAGGAGGGCTTGTTCATTTATTTAGAGTTGAGGGGGTTGTTTTGTTTTTTACAGTGCCGGCTTGGAGCCTCCCTATTAATAACCTTGCAGATCTGCTGGAGCTGCTTTTTACTGCTGGGTATTAATCGTGGCTATTCTTGTAGTTGCTGTAAATGTGTGTCTAATTAGAAATAGATAAAAAAAAAAAAAGCTGCCATTGAGATTCTCTGAAAAATAACATTAATATCCATCATCCGTTATCCCCTGCCACTATTAATAACAAAAAAATCTTTAGCATTGATGAGGGATGGATCAGCAATTATCTGAAGATGTCTCTCTCTGAATAATCGACTTCTTCAGGGTCTGATATGAAAAGAGCCTTTGACCCGATCTGTTGCCACCTTCTGCCATTATTCAGATAAAGTGAAATATAATGCTGATAGATGGGGAGGCAAACCAGAATGGTTTCCAGGAGAACAATGGTAGCAGATGTGTACCCAGTAACAGGAATATGGCACATGCATCTTCTGAAATAAATCAAAAGCAGCCAGTGCCCAGAGTCAGGTTCAGAAGTATTGGTTTAAGTAGACAACTGTGTATTTTTTGAGGTTTGTTTAGGATTAATATTTACTTATTTCATAGTAAATTATCTGCATGAAAATGTTTGTATTATGGCAGAAACCATGCAAGTGCACTCTGCTGCCCCAGAATATTTGGCTTAAAAAAATAAGTAATACAATTCCAAAAATAGGCAGACGTTTTTGCTATCATCTTGGTTCTTTCACATTTGAAATGAGGTAATACTGTACTTTTTGAATTAGAGCTGCTTACACTTATTTTTTTCCTTCCTGCTATGTTTTCTTTGTATTCTGGTAGACGGGAGTATCTGGAAGTTTGCAACTGAGGGAATCATTCACTTTAGCTCTAAAAGTTCTTTTATTTCTGTAACCAATGCATTAAATGTTATTTCCACCTATGTGAAGAGGTACAGAGAGTTCTTCAGTAAAAAAAATGAGGAATTCAAATGATTTCACATAGCAGTTAACATTTCAGAGGAAGGATTTACCTTTAATTCTAAGCAGAGAGAGGAAATGTAGTTCTAAAAGGAAAAGATTAACACTAAGTAAAGAGAATCTGGATTTTTTTCCAGGTTGGGGGAAGGGGGGAAAAAACAACTCCTCAGTACCATGAAACCATTTGGTTTAGGATAAGGTGGGACACAATAACAATTTGTTAGACTAGTGTTACTAACTGTGGTAAAGAAGCCTTTGCCTTGATAGTGTTTTTGTTTGTTTTATAAATGAAAAGCCTGCAACTGGCTTTTTTGTATTTCAGAGACAGTCGTCTTCAGTTAAACATGAATATGAAGATGCTTAATTTAACAACAACAACAACAAAAAGCCCTCCAGGTTCTAAAAGTCACTCTTGAAACTGAATTTGTGATAATTAACAGGACAATCCTCCTAGTGACAGCTCTAATTAATAGTATCTGTAATTAAAATCGTGCCCTTCCAGCAGGAAAATTGTTTGAATTTCTTGGAGTGACCTTTTTTGCCATTTCTCTTGGGGGCATGCTGGTTAAGTTTATATTGATTTTATAATGAGCTCTGGTTTGTTTAATAAGAATCTGTAATCCAGACAGTAAATGAAATGGGTGCTTCATTTCTTCTTCAGACTGATATATTTTAAAGAAAGTTAAAAATATAAGGGTGCGTTTTTCCCAACACTATGTAACAATGCTAGTACATAGTATACTGTTCAATTTTTCTGTAGTGAGATCAAACTGATATTCTTGGATATTGATTTAAGAGCCAAATCCTAATTTGCTTGACTCCCATGAATAGCTGCATTGGATTTCAATGGAACTACTGCCATACATGAAAAGGCATGATCTCTAAATGCATAGATTCCTAAGGACACAGCCTTTCCCTTGCCGAAATATGCGGAGGTTTTGCCATTGGCGTCACCAGCACACAGAGCAGGCCCCGAACTATGGTCAAACAAAATACTGGGGTGGCCTTGGTGATAACTGTTACCTTCATGAAGCAGCAGTAGTTTATCAGGGTTTCCCAGTGGGGCCTGGTTCTTCCTTCAGCAAAATCAGTAACAGTTTGCAAAGACAGCAAAATGGAGATGGTTTGAGCCCCAGTTCTCCAAAAAGTAAAAATAATTATGGGTTGACTAATGTTAAATCTGAGGAATGCCTTAAATATTTGATGAGGGGAAATTTTTGCATTGCATCATCAAAATAAATATCAGGAAGAACTATCTGTGTGCCTGATTCTTGCCTGGCACTCAAAAGGAAACTCTGCAACCCAGATTAAGACTGGGAAAGGAAAAGGCCTCAAAATGTTGCTGTGGTAATGGGGCACAAGGAACGCAAATATAAACCCCTTTTACCTTCGCAGTTAAATAAGTAGCTAGGGGACTGTTTTAATTACTCCATTTAATTAGTTCACTTTCATAAACAGTGAAATAAGCCAAGGGCGCCTGTGCCTGCTGACGTTTTAGCCATGACAACTTGATAATATGCCAGTGACTACAGCTTAAATAGCAAATCAAATTTGATTTTTAACAATTTATGTCAAGGGGCAAAATTAATAGGTTGTTACACTATTCTAATGCTCAATTCTTAATTAGGAAGAATGTGAAAATATCATTGTATTGAACATCACTTTTAAAATTGAAGTTGTTGCATATTGGCAGGGTCTTTCAGCAGGTTCCTTATAATTTAGATGGATAATAAGGAATTGTAATTGGTTAAATTGCTGACCAGAGTTCATAGATCATTTAAAAAGGGGTCCTTGATGCACTTGCAGGTTTGCTATAGGTAGAGGAAAGTAGAGAAACTGTATTGTCAGTGAAATAACCCTGGTGCTCTTACTAGTGAGAGCTGCCGGTCCACCCAGTCTGTTGACACTATCAGATCTGCAACAGTTGCAATGCAAATCTTACTCTAGTAAAGTCTGTGTAATATCCATGCTGTGCACGTAGCCAATAGTGTATGGCACTGAGGCATAATGAATGTTATGAAACATAGCTGTCCTTAGAACAATCAGGTTGTTTTTTTTTCCCTAGGAGGAATATTTCTTATATATGTATTGTGCGTGTATAAATCTGCCTTTTAAATAGAAGGAGCCAAACCATTTAAAACTTAACAATAAAGATATAAAATTTCAGCCTTCAAGAAGCTGTTAAGATGTAGCCCAATTACAGTTTGAAATGGCTGGTTTATGATTCTAGATGTTCAGAAGGTTACGTAACAGAAACAGCTGGCCTTTAAATCTAGCTGTTCTGCCAGACCCTGTTGTAACATTTTTTGAGAAATAAGTAACTTTCAAGCATTTGAAAGGGTAAAGGTACTACTGAGACTTAATTTGTCCTTTGATCAAAAAAAAAAAAAGGTGAGCTGGTTTTGTTAGACTGCAGTTAAGGAGCTTTTCAAAATGAATTGAAAGGACATATTTTGTAAAATGCTGCATGTACATAAAATGCAGTGTATGCGTAGGCACAAGCCATCTATTTTTTCTGTGCCTCTATGCTGTTTTCTATGTCCTTTCTGATCAAATGTACAATAATTAGTTAAATCACTGTCCAGAGTCTATAGATCATTGAAAAAGGAGTCCTTGTTGCACCCGCACGCGTGAATGTGCACACACAGACGCACACTCATGTTTTAATTGTTGCTCCTGTTGCTTTGATCTCCTTTGAAAAGCGAGTTTAGTATTCTGCAAGCTCACTCTCCCTTCCATGACATTTGGGCAGAAGCTCCTTAGGAATCTTCAGTAAATACGCTTTGATTTATTTCACAGCACTGAGCAGATTTTTCTTGTGTGCTTTGAAGCCTTTAGAACAGAGCCCAAATAAGAACGAGCATTCAGGCATCATGGGCAGCCTGCAAACAGGGCTGCTAAGTGCGCATCTTAGTTGTCGCTGCTCCCATTAGGGAGTAATTTATTAATGTAATAGCAGTGTATGTTGGTGTTTGCTACTATTTAGGGATGCCCTGTTGGTTTAGGCTGCTGTATTTGTGAGTCCTGACGAACCTTGGCTTTTGACCCCCACATAAAGGGATTCTGGGTTGTGCAAAAGCACGTTAACTCACCAGTGTACTTTATTTTTTTGAACTGGATAATTATACTAGAGACTGTAACATGAATGGAAATGTGAGTGCATCACTGATGATGATCTGTGAAATATTGCTGTGATGGAAACCAAATTCACAAGTTGAAATATGCTGGTGCTGACTTGGGTAAACCTGACTCTCTTGTGTTGATGCTGTTCATCTAGAGCTACTTGATTTTGTTTAATGTCAGCACATAACTTATTTACTTCCTTTAAAGAATGAGGTACAAATATGAAGGCAAAATAGTTTAAAACAAAGTCTTCCTGAAGTCTGCATTCAAGATTCTAGTAGTCCTGTAAAAGTTAATGGCATGAAACATAATGTACTATCAGTGTCAGTGAAGTCATGTCATCAGCTGTTGCAGAATATGGTAGCTGGTCTTGATAGGCAAAACAAAGAGAATTGTATTGAAAACTTCTATTGTAAAATTCAGTCTTAAAAGAGGGTTTTGTCCTGCATAATTCAAAGCAGATGGCAGCATTTTTGTTTATTTTTCAAGGTGTGCTTGTACACTTATTTGTAACTAAAGTTGTTTAAAAACTTGTTGAGTATTAATAACCCTTTAAATAATTTGGACAACTGATTCTGACAAAAAATTCTTAAGGATTTCTTTAAATTGGGTCTGATAGAAGGAATTTACTGGAGTTGTTTTTTTCTACTTACCTGTCTTACAAGTGTCCTGGCTTCATACAGATAACAGTAAGTTGCATCTTTTGTAGTTCCGTGTTAGACTCCAAGTATATAGACTGTGGTGTTTCATATATGAAAGTTTTTATAATCAAATACATTTACTTATTTTAATGTTGAAATAGCAACTCCTCTGAACCA